ACATGGCTCCCACTCATGGTGCTATGTTCCTTTGTATATATATTTTTTTCTTTCTGATATGTAACTGTGAGCTATTACTTACTGAGTCCTTGCAGAGTGTTTGCTTCTGCCAGTACTTGGCTGCTCTCACTTGGAAATATTTTTAAATTAAATTTTCTTTCTAAAAAATTAAATCTTTTCCTTGATTTTTCTGGGATCACCTATGTAGTAAGATTCAGGGCTGCAAATCTTCACAAAGACCAAACTATTTCTACAGATTCTGAGAAAATATTCTCCTGCCACAGAGCACCAAGTTCCAGAATATGCAGACTCCTCACTGTATGCATTAAGGAGGGTACTCTCTCACTTGACACCACTCTTTGGGTGTATTCTGTGCTTTACCAGGGTCACAAATATTATAGGGTTCACTTGGTTTTTCAGCTGTTTTTGAGGTGAAAGTTGGGCTCCTGGCTCCAATTATTTTTTGGCTTCTAAGTACTCTTGATTATAGACTACCCCCCCCACCCAGTAACTGTAGTTCTTTTACAGGAGAGTCGGTCAAGATAATCATCCATACTAATGGAAACTGAACTGTTCATCTACTAACTGTGATGCTGTTTTTCTTACAGTAGCCAAAGAGAACGTAAGTTTCCATTCATTTCATCAGTCTCCCTTATCTGTGGAGGATATGTTCAAAGACCTCCAGTGGATGCCTCAAACTGCTGAAATATACTATTTATTTTCCAATACAGACAGACCTACCATAAAGTTTAATTTACAAATTAGGTACAGTAACAAAAGTAAACTAACAATTTTAACAATATACTGTTCTAACAGCTTATAAAAAGTTACATGAATGTGGTCTTTCTCTGAAAATTATCTTATTGTACTGTGCTCACCCTTGTGATAGGAGACTAAAATGCCTGCATGATGGGATTAAATAAATGTGATGTACTTAGGCTACTATTGACCTCCTGACTGGATGATGATCTGCTTCTGTACCACAGGTGATCGTGAGTAATTAAGACTGTGCGTAAGGGAGAACTACTGTATTTTTTTCTATAGTGTATTATGGGGTTTTTTTTTTTTGTACTTTTAGAGTTAAAAACATAGCAAAGAATATTTTTGGTGAAGTCTATCACTTAGTTCATAATCATCTATTAAATATTTGGCCACCTAACAACGTGCCAGGCAGTCATCTAGTCACTGACGAATATAGCAGAACAAAAAATCCCTGTTCTAACGGCTTACATTCTGGGATAGGATTGAAGAAGAAACAACAAATACTACATGCCAAGGTGGATAATATTGAATATGCCATGGCACACTCTAAAATGGCAGGGCTGTTGGTGTTTTATGTAAGGTAGTTAAGAAACACCACTCTGAAGTTTGACATTTGAACACTTACAAAGAGAGAGCCAAATGGCATCTGAGATAATTCTAGGCAAAGGAAATCAATCTCAAGGGCAGACATCTTAAGGTGAAAAAAGTTCCGCATGTTCAAATCTTACCAGAGGTCTGTGTGACAGAGCTGAAGGAACTGGGGAGTGGTAGAGTATACTAGAGAAGGTGAGGTGGTAGAAGAGTCATTACAGCTTGTGTTTCACCTTAGTGTTTCAGCTTTTACTCTGAATGAGATGGGAAATGTTTAGGTTTGCAGTGATGACATGAAGTGATAAGGTTTAAAAGGATTGATTATCCGGGGTGTTACGTGTGGGACAAACTGCTGCCAAATAAAAAGCAGGGAGGACCACTAAGGCTACTGCAATAACCCAAGAGGTGATGAAACTTTATACCATGATGGCAGCAGTAAATACAGGGAATAGGTAGATTGAGTTAAAATTAAAAGTGGACCTGAAAGGACTGCTGATTAATTTGGAAGCGGAAGTGTGAGAAATCATGGCTGATGCCTAGGCTTTGGGCCAGTGCAACTCAAAGAATATTTACTGAGCCCAAGAGGAGGCCGTGGTGTGTGCACCTGTGTAGAAATCAAGGTTTTAGACACTTTGAAGGTACCTTTCACTTAGCCAGGTGGATTATAAGGAGCTATGCAGGAGTTTAGGAAAGAGAGCTGGGAGGTCAGCAAATGACAACTATGTTCTCTTAAGCAACAAGAGCACGAAACTCCAGTTTGGTCTTACTTGACACTATTCAAATTTAATATAACAAGGTACTGAGTTATTGAAGAGGCTCACACAATATAGTATGCACAATGAAAATGAATTATTTCATAAAACCATTTTCAGTACAGAAAAACTTTGAGGACTCTTCAAATTTAAAAAATTTCATCCAGAAAGTGAACAATTTGGCTAGACAATGGACAATGGGATCTTGACTAAAATTCCATGTAAAAGAGCAATTACTAGAAATAGTGTGCCAGAGTTAAAAAGCATAAATTCTTCAAAATGAGGCAGAAAAGGATCAAATAGTTTTAAGGTAGCAGGAAAGAATGCAAAATTGTAATTACTGGAGAACTAAAGAAAACAATCTTCCTAGCCTTTCTAGAAAACCTTAGTTCTGATCTTTTACAGTTCTTCCATTAACTCTTTTTGGAGGGTTGGGTTCAGAGGCGGTGTTCATGCTTTAAAATCCTATTTTCAAATACCTTCACAATTTATTTATATTACATTGGGACTGTTGAAACCTTTAATAGCTACTTTCGAGTATGTTTAATACATGCTAAATCCAGTTAATACTGCAAACACCCTAAACATCAGATTTTACCTTTTCACTCACCTCCCCCAAGGGGGGGGGTGGGGAAGAAACAAAAAAAAAAAAGCTAAGCAATGTGAAGGCCACAGAATGGGACCAGTGTTCAAATCTTTGCTTCCATTTTCAACCAACACTTAGCCAACTTTTGTACCTGGTTACTCTAAATACTTGGCCATTGGTTGAGTTATATAATAAGTTTTATCTTTTGTCATAAATTTCAAAGTTGCTAGGTTAGACTAACCGTAGGATGTTAATATATTAAGTAAATGTAGAACAATCTACATTATTTGTAACTCAAAGTGCTATAAACTTGTCAGATATTTATAAATAAGATGGAAATGTATTTGGGCATCCAAGAGAAGTTCTCTTATCCCTGTGGAACAGCAAGATGTGTCAAGTAACTACTGATAAGGCTCAAGGACTGCTGCTGTGGGCTGTCAGATCTAGCAGCAGACTTCAGAATCACCTGGATGGCTTTTTAAACAAACCACTGGGTTTCTCGTTTTCTCAATCTGTAGACCTGGAGTGTGGTCTGGTAACCACATTCTAAAGAACTTCCCAAATGATACTGATTACGAGGCCTTGGAACCCACACTTTGAGAACCAGTCTTAATTCTTTATAAACCAGTTTTGTAACTGCTATTTTAAGAGGTTCAAAATAGACACAGTATTAAAGTGTGGATTTCATGTTAGCTGGAATTACTGAGACCGAAGTGTCTTTAAACACAGACTTTAATGGTAACAATTCCTTTAAGCTCAATTAACCTTAGCTATTACAAGTGTTATGCAGATGTCACTATTAAGACAATATTTAGTGACTTGTACTGGTTTCCTCATAAAATAGAAGACAAATTCACTTAAGTGTCATCAACAATCATTTAACAGTTTTGTTATGCCAACACAAAACACGGCTACTTTGAGTCACCTCCAAAATCACTAACACAGCATGATCAGTAACTGAAGCATATTTTAACTAAGCCATTAAAAAAAAAAGTGAGTGTTTCACTACCCCTGAGACCACTAGATAACTGTGGTTCATACTTTAAAAAATTGTGAGTACACCCACACAAAAAAGCAAACTAACAAGATTTTTAAAAAATCTGGTATCACATTGCAAACTTGCCCAGGAAAAATGAGTCACTTAAAATATAATTTACCATAATAGGTCAGCTGGACTATAATTCTCATAGATTGAGAAACTATTAAAAATTTGACTTTATGCATGAAAAAGACCTAGGAAATATAAGAACCAAAATCAATTTTTAATCTTCTAATATGCATCCAGTCCTACACATGGCACTAGTAATATATATGGGGGAAAGGGCAAATTCTTGGATTCGTTTGAAGGTTTCATTGGGATGATCTTAAGTTCAGTGTCCATACATTCAGAAATGTTGGTTTTCCAGGTACTTTACTGTTCTCTTTAAACCTGGAGAAGCCTTTATGGCTTATTCCCTTAGAAGTGACATAAGAAATGTCATAGCATCAAATCAAAGATACAGAGAACTGGACACATCTAGTAATTATTATGACAATCAATGGTTTAAGTTTTCTCTATGTATACTTAAAGGTTGTCTATGGCTGAAAAGAAAGATCAACTTGAAAAGGAATTCAGAAGCTCTGACAAACTGTTTATTCACAGCTGGCTTTCAGTGATATGCCTACTAAAGCTATTATTTTGAGAGTATAGAATCAGAAGTAATTATTTTTAAAATAGAGCAAAAGAACAGTATTTCTTACCTTACGGAGCAGTAGGCTACTAATTTCGCATTTGTAATTTGAGTCCAAAATAGCTTTAACAGTATGACATCTACCTTTAAGGAGTAATTTTTAAGTAAAAGATGAAATGAAAAAAATTCACTCATTGGAAAATTGTATAGCTGGGTTGATATTTCTCAATGAAATGCTTAAATTACAGAATTAACAAAGCCAGAACATCTTCGGAAGGCATGCATTTCACTTGCAGTTTAGAGAAAAACCTTAAGTCAATAAACCATGTCCAAACTATGTATTAAAATGTTTATAAAAAATCAAGCTTTAACATTTATTTTATCTAGCTTTCCACATCTGTATGCAGACAAGGAGTAAGAATGCACATAAATGTAAGCAGTGCAAAAATGTGGAAGTGAAGAAAAGTCAAAGATGTGCTAGAAATAAATACAAGATTTTAAGAAAGCAATGGACAAATCAAAATAACTACGAAAAAAGTAAAACTATAGGGTCAGGATTAGGAAGGGTGAAGAATGATAATGCCCTTGTTACTACAGAAGTTAAATTAGTGGCACAGATAGCACTTGTCAAACAAAAAATAATCCAATAGCATTGACTTTTATTCATTCATGTTAAGTCACCTGAAATGATATCTGTTGCATTTAAATGCTCATTAATGTAAATGGCTGAACAAATCCATTTCAATGGATATTCAATATCCCACATAGTTAAGTCACTTCAACACAGCCTCATGACAACTCCCACACCAAAACAGTACTTTATTTTGTAAATTTTGACCCATTATTACTCCCATGTTATGGTTTTTTCAGCTGTCGCGAGTGTACAAGGTGAAGAAAAAAATTTAGTTAGATGGGGGTTGCACCTGGAAAATAAATTTCTCAAACTCCACATACATGTTTCAAAACTGCTGGGTCCCAAGTCCATCTATGAACTCCAGGGCTGCCAGTATCATGTGCAGCATACTAAAGCTACACTATCTGAATAGCTTATTAATTCTGCATAAATCAGGTCAATCAATGTGTCAACCTGTAACAGACTGTGCACTTTTAACTGAACATGGCAAAATATTCACTCTTTTGAACTTTACATCATCATTTGATGTCAAACAATGAAGCAAATCCCAACAGTATATACAAAAACAGCTTTGCATTTACAAAAGATTGTTTCCCATACTGATTAATTCAGGCAGCTAACTCATTGGTTTATGCAACTTTATTGAAGAAAAATAAATCAATTACTAGCAGAGCTATTAGTTGATCACTCATCCATTGACAACTTGCATCATTTATTCAGTGCTATATTAAACAGTGTATTGGAAGATAGATTAACTAATAGCTCCAAGCCTCCTAACAATTTAAATGAGAATTACAAAATGTTTGAGACCCTATTTTGGAATACAAAGGGTATTTGACTTCCAATTTCCATTCTCTGTAGAACAAGAACAGGTCATTCCTTTATTGACATGCATAAAATACATCACATTTTCTGTTCTGCTGATGCTATAAATTCAATACCAATTCTCCAGCCACATCAGTTATGAGCATAAAGTATATCATGTAACCTCAAATCTCTAACAGTGGAAGGCTTAAAAAAAGACTGGATGCTAGAATAATGCTGCTTCCTTTGATGTGACAACTGAGCATCCATCTCCCTCCCCCTCAGATGATTTCTTCAGCATGTTAGAGCAGTGAGGAATGGTTTTAGTCTCATAACCAAGTTAGAGTGAAGACATTGGCCACATAATACACATGCTCCATTTTTAAAAAAATTCTGATCTTGGGCAACTGTTCTCTTGTAACTACTTTACAGTTTCTAAAAGCAGTTATTGTCCAAAGCTGGAAGAACTTAAGTCTTCTCAGATGAGCATGTGAATGAATGGAGGGAGGTAAACAAAAAATAAAATTAAAAAAGATGAGGTCTGATAGGGGAGCAGCCGGATAAGAAAAATCAAAAAAGGAACAGTAATTTAAAGTTTATTCCAGCTATAATGCAGGTTATTCTGACTTTAAGGTAGCATCACATGGCATACTTCTGAGTCCATTCCCGAGATATTCTGTTGTACCTGTAAATAAAGAAGATGTTACTTAAAAAGTTTAAGAATTCTTAATACTTAAAAGGAAAGATTTGTTTTACCTCCAGACTCAGCATGGAGTCATCTCTCAGGGTTACGATTAGAATTAAGACAACTAGGAAAAAAAAAGCAACGTGGGAAATGGAAGCCTTATGCTTCTAATACAATGTTCCAATACACTGAAAGTGTTTTAATACACACAATAAAGTGGCACTGAAATTGAGGAGGCTAACAAAAATCAAAGACCCAATTTTCTCTCCCCTACCACTGAGTTAAATGTTCTATTAGAAATTCTGTAATTAGTATCCATTCCAACAAATTTTAACATTAAAAAAATACTTTACGGTTTATCATGGACTTATGTCAGAGTGCAACAGAGATTCTGAACATCTATAAAATTTCCATCAAAGCTGGAACCAAACAATTTTATCTGAATCCTACACCTTGAGAAATTACTAGAGCTTGAGTAATATCAGAAAATACCTTTGAGAGTTAAGCACAGGTAGAAGATTAGACACTGGGGAGGGTGAAAAAAAGCAATTTTCAAGAGGGATGTGGATGGGACTGGTATGTATGTGTTAATTAGAACACTTATGTGTTACTTTGAGAAAGGGTGGTGACTGGAGCTAACAAGACCCACTTAAGACCAAATAAATGGGAATTTCCACTAGGGGTACAATTTGGGGGCATCTGTTTAAAAGATCAACAGATAATTCACACACAAGCAAGGTTATTTATTACTGAGGAACATCACTAATATTGACAAATACTATCAATTTCTCCCTGCATTACATCCATGCCATAGGCTACTTACCAAAAATTATAGTGAGAACTTTAAGAAATAAATATACATCAAAGGGCACAAGAGAACTTTTAGATTTGTATTTCTGATTTACACTTTGTAAAATATTAACTAGCTTCATTTCAAACCAAGAACTAAACATGGTTCAACCATTTTTCTAAACTTTGGCATACAGTTCTTTCTACCATTCATGGTTACTTCATTTAAAGACACCCTCTCAAAAAGCCAGCACTTTGAAACAAAGGTTTCATTTAGCATACACGGAGCCACACAAAGTATAGCTGGTATTAATGCATGCTTGTCAGTAATGAACATTTAGTTTAGATGCTTAGAGACTTTATTAAAAGTGTTTTCCCCTTATATTATTATTTCTGGGCCAAATTTGAACTAAATCACATTCCATATAGTACTGGTATGAAGGTTAAAATATACCAAATTTAGAATGTAAATATCATGGTAGTTTGAGAAAGATACTACTTAAACTTTAATTTCTTACTACTGCTATATATAACTGCTTTGCCATGCAAAAATTTTCTCAAGCAATAATGACTACTGGGTATACTTTCACACTAAACAGATCAAGCAGTTAACTGTGCAGTTTTCAAAAAACTGACATGTTACCTTTTGTTAGTTAATACAGTGCCTTAAAACATGCAGCACTCGAGTGCTGGCAGTACCATGAATAAGCGCACCATAGAGTGCAGATCCTCTTACCCTACAACATAGCGTATTTCTCTGTCCACTCTCTTGCTAACCTATTGTACCTAATTGAACAAGTATACTTAGCGTTAATTACAACATACAACAAAGTTATAATGGTGGAGTTGTACACAAAGATAATTCAAGTATTTGAGAAATTCAGATAAATTTTTATGACAGTACCAGTATTTGTTTCAAAAATGTAATTGGGGTAAGGAAAATTTTTGCTTTCTTCCCAGAAACTCAGTGACAAAGCAATGACCATTTAGAAAAATAGAACGTTTCAGGCTATTCACTGTCACATAAACTAAAAACTATTTAAAAAATATCCCATTTCAAAAACTACCTTTCTGTACACTTTATTATCAGAAATAAATCACCAAATCTTCTTGGCACTGCCACAACTTACAACAGAGTGTAAGCCTAGCTCATTACATCACTCTTTATATTATTTCCTTAAACTACTATATACTTACTTATCTCTGTCTGTTTTATAGATCCGTGCAATCTCTGGCACTAGGGGGTCATCTGGGTTTGGATCACATAGCAGTGAACAAATGGATAAAAGAACTGCAAATTAAAAAAAAAAGTCTGTTACCCAGCATTGGGAATTTGGATAAATAAAAGTATATTTGAAATCATATTATTAAAAAACCTCAATCCTCAAAAGATTTTTTAGCCTGTATCTTAATGTCAATGAAACAAGTCTGTATAGAGATTTTGCTTCATAGGAGATAAACTCCTAGTAGATAAGGAATGCTAAAAACAGAGCTTTGTGGGGATCAAATTTAGTACTGACTAGCTATCAAAAATTCTGCCCAACTCAGGAGTTCTCAGATATTCAAATGATGCTATATCAGTTTATTAATAATCGTTTTTTAAAAGTGGCATTAAAATTTAAGTAACTGGAGTTTCTTGGTACTATGAAGGGAGGAAATCTAGCAAAGCATATGCAGAACACCTGTGCAGTATTATTCTCAGCTGTTAGGCATGATGAAAAAATCCATTCTCTGGGAGCCAGCTGGCTCAGTCAGGACAGTGTGTGACTCTTCATCTTGGGGGTTGTGGGTTCAAGCCCCATGTTGAGAGCAGCAATTACTTAAATATTTAAAAAGAAAAAAAAAAAAAAAGAAAAAAAAAAGAAAAATCCATTCTCTGCCCTACACTCAGGGGCGTTGCACAAAAACAACTGCTCCACTGTTTTGCTCCTTGACTTTATAAACAGTACTGATTAAATGAATGTGGAGATCTAGCTCTATTAACTCAGTGAGCCTTCTCTAGTTCTTACCTTGACCTATTCAATATATGAACTTGGAAAGATATCAAGCACCACATAGCATGTATCTAATTCAATCTGTACTCCTGTTATGTGCCAGACACTGCAAAATGTTATGAAATTTTAACATATAAAAGCTCAGAGTGGTTATAAAAATCTTCAAAGATAACATTACCATGAAAGACAGTACTAATGTAATGTATTATAGCAAATATAGTTTTAAACCCAAAAGGCAGGAGAGCACATATAAAGAAACATAGTGTTGAGTTTTATTCCCAAAAGTGATAAACCTGGAACCTAGTATTAAGATATTCTTGATATTGTATCTATCTATATAGTATCTGTACTGTACTGTGGTGTTAAGAGAGCTTGATTTACAAGGGAACTGGAATGTATCCCAAAAAGGTGAAAAACATCTAAAAACTGTGTCACACTCGAAATTAAAGCAGCATTCACCAAAACTGATTTTTTTCTTCTCCAAGAGTGATTTCAAATTTATTGTACAAACATATCCGAAACACTGTCTTAATTAGCAACAATAAAAAACCCTCATTTTTTGTACTAAGAAATGCTACATCAACACCAAAACAAAATTTACTGGAAGGCAAACTTCCCATTAGGCAGTTTGTTGTAGGTCATTTGTGTGTGTGTGGGGGTGGGGTGGGGGTGGTGATAAAAGCCACCATAGTCATTCAAAATGGAGGAAAGATGAAGGCACTCAATCTCTTATCTGGGATATTCATGTGGAGACTGGATAACCTATTTGAGATGACACCTAATGGACCCTTATTAAAAGTAGAAGACCAGAATTACTCTAGAGACATTTCCAAGACTCTAATAATTTTAGCTTATTACTAGGTAGGAACAATCTATTAAATCTATTAACCATCCAAGTTGCTTTAAAAGCCTTTTTACCTAAAAAATACTGTAAGAAACACAAGAATGCAAAACCAGAATCTTCTTACAATGGAAACCAAGACTTAAAAGCTCTATTAAACTTCAGATCTACCATTTTATAAAACGCAGGAGCGGGAGTTGAGATGTGAGTGGCCTAGGATTGAAAAATACTACAGAAATCTATATTAAAAAAACCTAACTATTATTTGCAAATAATGCCTATATCCTAATTTGAATTTTAACTTTTTCCCACAAAGTCTTTAATCAATACTGCTAAAAGCACAAATAGATGTAATTTTTTTTCCCTTCCCCGCCTCTTACCAAAATACTGGCATAAAATGGAAGTAGGCCCCAAAATGAAACTTTATTTTTTTAAAGATTTTATTCATTTATTTGACTGAAACAGTGAGTGAGGGAGCATGAGCACACAAGCAGAGGCAGCAAGAGGAGGCTCCCCACTGAGCAAGAAGCCCGATGTGGGGCTTGATCCCAAGACCCCGGGACCCCAACTCTAGCCCAAGGCAGATGCCCAACTGACTGACCCACCCAGAAGCCCCAATGAAACTCCTTTAATTTGAAAATCAGAGCAGCTCAGGGCTCTTTCTCTAAAAGTACTTTACCTTTAGAAATAGTTAAAGCAGGAGACCACTGTGATCTTAGAATATCGAGACAAATGCTGCCGTTACTGTTAATATTTGGATGATAAATTCTTGTTGTAAATGCAACCTAAAATAAATGAAAATGTTTAGTTATTTTTCCCAAGTGAAAATAAGCATCCTAATCTGAAACAGAAGACTTTTAAGCAAGGCTTATGATACTGTGTCACACACACACACACACACACACACTCTCTCTCTCTCTCTCTCAAATGGCTAAAACCTACTAATACATATAAAAAGACTAAAAATTACAGAAACTGGTTTGTATATTCTGATCAAGATCTTCCAGGACCTCCCTCTCTTTACTTAAAATGAAAAATGTAACTGTGGGGCAAAAATTTTATCATTTAATGATATGATGGCATATTCTGAAGGTTAACTTTGGCTCTACCCATGTCAGGAGTATCAAAAGAACATAGTTAACAGTAATCAATATTCATTAAAAAATAAAGGAACTTCAGAATGTAAACCGTATTTACAGACCAACTCATTTAAAGTATCAAGTTACAAAAGTATGCGTTTTAGTCTGCATTTCCACTGTACATAAAATACAAATCTGAATGATTGTGAAAGTGTTTCATCTGAAGTAACTATTACATTGCACCTATAACGGGATTGCAAAGATTGCTGAAGTGCCAATGTTTTGTTATTTCTATTGTTGAATTCACATAGGTTTGCTTTCCGTTAACTGTTCTGAAAGTCAAGACCTTATGTTTTTAATAACTGTTGACCAGTCACCTTAGTGCATCAAGCAACTCCAAGTTTTGATAGATTTATTGTCATATATGCAAATGCAACCCCCTGACAGACCATGTGAACCCTAACAAAAACAGCACAGGCTTTAACAATATGGGCAAATGCACAGGAAGCTAATACTTGAAGCCTACTACTACAAAGGTTAATAATATGAATCTCTATGAGCATAATAAACAGTGGAAAAACCTTCCACATAATGTATCAGAGTCCTGCAACATTAAGGATAAGTCAGTTCTTATCTCCATTTACAAAGTTCAAATTTACAAAGTTCAAATCCAGGTCTAACTGCTCTCTTAACTAAAGGTTAAGTCAGCATTCTGTATTAGTGACTCAATACATATATATTTAGCCTTAATTATTCCTAGTCACTACATGTACATAACCCAATTTAGCCTTACTTATATAGAACCTTGATTTCTAAGAATATTCTACTCCTCTGAAATATTGCACAGATCTTATTTACTAATGGATTTTGGGGGTAAATACTTGCCTTAGGTGGTTTGAAGGGGTAGTCTGTAGGAAAATGAATTGTCAAAAAGAATACACCGCCTTGATATGGGCTGTCATTCTGGTGAAAAGAAAAATTTGCTTAACTCTGATATTTAAGATACTAATGCTAAATAATGCATGTAACATTTCTATTTTCTAAGCATTTCTTTAACACGAAACAAGATTACCTGTTTATGCTGCAAGAGAGAATACAAATCATTCCACAATTCAGTTCACATTACTAAAACACCACAATCAAAATTTCTTACAGAATAATGAACCCTTATTTAGTTAGATCCCATTTTATTTAAGTCACCAAAGAACTGAACAATTAACCAGAAACCAAATGTTCTAGATCCTTATTTTCATAAAGGAAAGGTATACTTAGCAATAAGGTCTACATACAGTATTATATATCAAACCTGAATTTGCACAAAGCTCTTATATTTATTTCTGATAATGACAGCCATATACACATATATGGCTTTGCACCTCAACACACCACTCTGGTCACTTCGGCAAATCAAAATGTTGGCTATTGCAGGTTAACCTGTAACTACCTTCAACAGAAGAAGCAAAACAGAAACAAAATAGTTTTGTTTGTTTTTGTTTATTTATTTGACAGAGACAGACACAGAGAGAGGGGGACCACAAGCATGTGACCTGAGCCGAAGGCGGACGCTTAACGACCAAGCTACCCAGGTGCCCCAAATAGGTTTTTAACAAGTTTAACTCCCATCTGGCTCCTCAAAACCTTCATTTTAAAAAACATTTATTTAAATCATCTCTACACCCAACATGGGGCTCAAACTCATGACCCTGAGATCGAGAGTCACATGTTCTTCCAACTGATTGAGCCAGACATCCCTCAAAATTCTCATTTAAAACCACAATTTTTTTTTTTGAAGTTCTGAGAGAGAGAGAGAGGGTGTGTGTGTGTATGCGCATGCCAGCGCAGGAGGGAGGGGAAGAGTCTTAAGCAGACTGCTGAGCATGAAGCCTGACTTAGGACTTGATCCCAGGACCCTGAGATCACTACCTGAGCTGAAACCAAGAGATGGATGTTCAAGCTATTGTCACCCAGGCGCCCCCAAAACAACGAAGATTTTTTTCAAAACCATACTGAATTCTCCACAACAAATTAATAAACAGGATTACAAATTTGGAAACAATGTGGAACTGTTCTGCCACTTCAACAGAACAGAAATTTTCAAGCTATAGCATCACTCTTCCTCCTTTGTTGTTTTGCTTATTATATAATCTGAGTATGAAGAACTCTCTTAATAAATATTATACAATGTTAGTACATAAGTAACTTGCTAGAATTTTACATTTAATTAAACCAATACCAGGAAAAAGGTAACATTGTATTCCCATTTTACGCTACATACAAATGGGACTTGAATAATTTATAGTGTAAGAACCAAGACTGCAACCCAGGTCTTATGAAGATCACTGGTCAATATGGGATCAGTGAGTGATGACAAAAGACAGTGACCTCATTAAAACCTTTAGGGTAAAACATAGTAACTGCATAACTGCTTCTGGATAGAAGTCACCTGGCAAGGTCTTTAAAAATTTACAGTAATTCAGTTATTACCAACATCCACTCCTCTCCATTACAGACAGTATGTACATAGTGCTAATTATAAGTCTTTTATTATGCCCATTCTGGATGTCAGGAAAGTAAAAACTTTTCCAGATCTGAGACTTTAATACAGCTCATTTAATTCCCAGCCCTCTGTAAAATAGTTAAACAATAACTGAATTAATCTAACTCAGTTCTTAGGACGCCTGGGTGGCTCAGCCTGTTAAGCGTCTTTTTGGCTCAGGTCATGATCCTAGAGTGCTGGGATGGAGCCTCGAGAAACCCGCGTCAGGTTCCCTGCTCATCAGAGAGCCTGCTTCTCCCTCTGCCCCTCACCCTGCTCATGCTTGTTCGTTCTAACAGATAAAGAAAATCTTTAAAAAAAAAACCTTAACTGTTCTACAGATCAGGTATGTATAAGGGACACAGAGAACAATTTCTTACATTGATGGGTAAGTGTTCTGGTGAAAGACATGCAATAAAATGTTGCAAACATTATGAAAAATGAACAGGGCAAACCAGCAACTTGAAGGAAAAATGACAATTTACTGATTAAGAATGAAGTTCAAAGAAACATATAACTAGTATAATCAAAGAACTACAACTTGAGTCCTTCTTACCCCAAAGTCTTTTCATATTGCCTACAAAATTTAAATTAAAAAAACTAAGACTGCAAAAGCAGCATATAAAAAGTATAGAAAAAATAAAGCACAGAATATGATCTGAATTAAATAACATTCCTTTGTTAACAGCTACATTAACTGGGAATAGATGCTTCAAATGGCATAGTTTTACAAAACAGACTAATACGGAAAATGTTTACACAGTACTCCTAAACAGTAAAAGTTTTTATAAAACCAAATTACCAAAGTTCTGAGTTTTCATTCCAAGTTTCATACAATCAGAAGGACCGTATCTGACTGCTTCTGAATAAAGACAATCTGATGGTAAGATTTAGGGAAAGCCAAATTTCATTTCACTTATTAAAAAAAAAAAACAACAAAAAACAAAACTCAGGGATGAAAATATTCAGTGTTACAATTTAACACTACAATTTCATCAACTCAAAGAGGAAAAACTGGTAAAACCACAAGATCCAGAGGTAACCAGACCAAAGTATGCTACCTAAAAAACTGAAGCTCTATTATCGAATCTACTATAAACTGAAAGCAAACAGAAAACAACAAAAGAAAAAGAAGAATACTTTAACCTGTAACCTCACCCAAGTCTTAGAAATCCAGAATTTATACCCGATCTCTTTAGACACCTTCTACTGGTTTTAACTCCTATCAGTCCAAAGTCAGTATTCCTCCCCCAGGGCAATCATAAAGTCTTGGTATTCCCCCAGATCCATCTTTTGCTTGTATCTCCTGACTCATACTTATTTTGGTTAAATCTTGAATTTTTCTCTAGTTATTAATTCTCTAGTTATTATTTTCTCTAGTTACTAATTCCAGGACATACATATATATATACATATATATGCCTATAAATATTTATCCTTAGAGGTCTCCTGTATCCAAAACTCAAACCACAAACCCAGTAACTCATCACTGATCAAAGTAGTTATTAATCTTAAAGATCCTTAAAATCTCTTAAACTAGCTTCCTCTCTTTTATGCCCACTGCCTGCCACTACCTCCCTTCATTCAAGATCTTACAATCTTTTGTTTATATTATAGCAATGGCTTACTTTTGATATTCCTGCCTTCACTCTGTTTTTCTTCTAATTTATCCCTTACCCTAATGCTGAAGTTGTCCTAAAACACAAGTTACATTCCTGCTTGAAATCTAGCACAGCTTTCAAGATAAAAGTGCAAACTTCTAAGCACAAAAGGTGCTTTATGGTCTCCTTCCCACCAATATAGTTGTGGTCTCATCCTTCCACCTCTTCTGAATATGCTCTCCCTACTGGACTTAAAATATTTCACACATCTCCTTTTTCTTCCACTTGAAATATTGTTATCTGTATCCTTATCTTCTTCATCTCTAGGACCATACCTACACTGTACCATCCATCTCAAGTTTAAATATCCTTAAAAAGATAATATCTCTTTATTTAGTTCAATACACTTGTTGCCCTTCTTTTATACCTTTCTCTACAAGTTATTAGTACCCAACATACTTATGTAACTTTTATTTCCTTCTTCCTCTAGACTACAAAGTTCCTTAAAAAGGTACTGAAAGGGGAAGTTTTCACACATCATTAGCCTCTAGAGGAACTGACAAAATACACTTAAAATAAGTTGAAAAATAACCCTTATGGACCAGTAAGACAATACCTATGAACCAATTATTTGACCAGATGGTTTCTGCAAGTGATTCTCCTCAAGCTGGTTACGTTGTATTACCCAAAAATGGTACCTTCTTCCATGGCTGTATCAAAGATTAGGTGGAAGTCAGGGTGGTTCTCCAAGTAACTTTAAATTATCTTTCTGCCAGTTCCATTTCCAATTAAAGAAACATCAAGTGTATAAACTATCAGATAAGGAGTTAATTTCTCCCAACTGCATCAACTGATAGTGGGAACTGCCCTTAATACAAAAAACCAAAAACTTAAAAACCACCAGTTTAAAAAGCCCACAGACAGCAGTGCTCTGTCAATTCTTTCGAAGATTTAATTTTTATTAGTATCTGTGCTTCCAAAGTACCCTACCTTTGGAAAGAATAAGCCAGTTCAAACAGTTATTAGAAAGAAGCATTCTGCCTCATAAATTTAATGATCAAGAACATTTCGAGACTACAAAATGCTAAAATCCAATAGCTGACTCTGTACAAAACTTAAATTAGATGTTCCAGTCCTTAGTCAGGAACCTTTACTTATGTGGCACTGCCAATCACTTTTACTGACCTAAGAAGTACTCCAAAGCAAAAGTACTTTTGTCACCATTTATTCTTTCAGCAAATCTGCAAATATATGGATTGTTATATGACCAATGGCCCTATGTTTTAGCTCATGTCACATACTAACAAAATAAAGCAATTAGTGATGTAATCAAACTGTAATGTTTTATCACAAAATGCAATCAAAAGCCAAACTAAGAATGACTTATTTCACTGATGACTCTACAAGGATAACTATTAACTACTTGCAAATTGGCATCTAAACGTGCTTACTTAAATATAGTTTTTGCTTTTGTTAATCAGGGAATATTTATTTTTTATAAGATTTGTATTTATTTACATCTCAAACAGAGCACACATTAGCAGGGGGAACAGCAGGCAGAGGGAGAAGCAGGCTCCCTGAGGAACAAGGAGCTAATGTGGGACTCATTCCCAGGACCCTGGGATCAAGACCTGAACCAAAAGCAGACAGACACTTTAGTGCTTTATTAATACTTACAACTAATTTTAATAATGAGGTCATTTTAAAGCACCATCTGGATCAAAGATGAGCTTTTATTTGGTGCAAATTTTAGGATATTTTATTACATATGCTTTGAAAATGGATTATCTATAATGAGAAAATTCTAGAAATTACAAATGCAAGTGACTAAAAGGTAGGCAAAATGAGTGGATAGAAATAGTGTGAGACACAAGCTCCGTATAAAAAAGGGGGGTAGCTGCTACTCCATCCCAAGCCATTACTGCTGTGAAATGAAGGTCTAGTCTGGCTTTTTATGTGAAGTTAGCAAACTTTTAAAATGTTCTGAGGACCAAATTGGTTAAAAGTCACACTGAATTAACTATGTGTATTTAAAATAAATCACAATTTTGTTACCAAATAAAAGGAAGCATTTTAAAGCAAAATAAGATTTACAACAGTAAAAACAGGCCTTGAAACAACTGGAAATGAACAATTCTGACTTTGAATAGTTTCTTAAATTAGAATATAGGCAGATTTCAAATTAAGAATCTAAATATCCCCCACTACCACTACACCAAGGTTAACTATGGTTAAGGTAACAATCTCCTTACCTTTAAGTCCTAACATCATAATTAACTCTAACTCAATCATTTCTGCTATGGATTTCCCATAAAATTTCTCCCACTAATCACTGCATTTATGTATCACTTACTTTCCACATTATCATACCTGTTTTAACTGTCTGTTTCTCCCAGTAGGTAAGTTCCTTAAAGCATGAGAGGGACCATATCTATCCTTCATTGTGATCCTCCAGCGAAGGATCACAATGAAGATTACAGTTATCAAATTCAGAACTACGGAATAAAAACTTACTAACTTTTCCAAGAACATTTCTCCTTTAAGAATGACAGACATCTATCTATAGACCACTAACTCACTAAGTACATTATTGACATTTACGCTGAGATTAAACCACCAAAGGGAGGGGTGCAGATTAAGACATACATATACCTTAGAATAGAAATCCTAAAGTGCCTTCCAAGTCAAAAAAATATTAAGTATTGTGCAAGATACAGTCTTACCCCAGGTTGTTTTACTGCGCTCTAATTCTGTGAAATTCTTAGATGGTATCCATAATTCTGAATATTCAATTATCCAGCATATACAGTTTCTTATCTACCCAGGATAGAAAGGAATTTTGCTGTATTCAAAATACCACTTTCTACCTAAAAATATTCAAATTTTGTAAAAAACTAAGGAAGAATCAAGTATCAAAATAATACAATAAAAACTTAAATTTTCAGCAGCATCAGGAATAAGATCTTTGAGTAACACCATGGTAGAGCCAGTTAAATTAATTGACTCTATAAGAAAACTCTATGACAATACTTTACATTCCTATGAAAGAAAACTAGAATAAGTGAAAAAATATCTGATAGGCCAGAGATGCTATATTCTAGAACCTGAGTATACAGACAGACACATAGCACATGTAACAAATTACTATTCATTGAATTGTTATGCCCTTCAAAAACAGTACAACTATGGCAATTCCAAAAAAGTACTACAGTGTAATAAAATAAACGTAAGACTAAGTTAAATACAACTCGGTCAATGCTGAACCTTTAATTAAAAGCAAGTGTTTTAATTCTTAATACTTACAGGTCCCATAATTGTGGCTTGCCAATGAAACACTAGGGAAATACAAAACAAAACTGTTGTTATCTAAACACATACAAGTTTTTTTAAAATTAGCCATTAAAATCAACTTGAGAGTTACTTACTATCATCCCCAACTGGACCTGCAGAACATTGTGCTGGAGGGTCACGGGCCAAATCACTAAGTTCCTACACCAAAACAGAAAATGATGGGTCATGTAACCATAATAAAAAACATAAGCAAGCAAAGAAAGTCAACTATTTATTTTCACCCCATTCTTTAAGGAACATACAATCAGTTCACATTAATACATTCTAGTAAAAGAGAGAAAGCATTAAGTAGCCAGTCCAGATCCTGGGACATAGCAGGTATAAATATGAAAATTTTTGTTACACCAACAAAAGCTGTGCAAACCAAAAAAGTTCTATCAGATACTTTCATGGCTTAAGAACTTAAGACAAAGCAGTTCTTAATATTCTTAATACTCATGTTGTCTAATGAACTTCCTTGACATCTCAGAGTTTCTACCATCTCAAATCCTGCTATTTCCAAACCACACTACCACAGACCTCATTTTCCACTTGAAAAATCTCTCATGGGGCTAGGTAGGTATTCTTTTTTGTTTGATCTTATTCCTGCAACTCAACCATGTCTTTTAGACAATGTTGCGTAAAATTACAACTCTGAAAGAACCTGGAATTTGCTCATAGTAAAAACATGCAGTTTCCAAAAGTCCACCCCACCTTATATTTACAAATATATACTGAGCTCTTCCACGACTTGTATGTAACACATATGGATAATGCAGTTAAGAAAATAGTTGTTTCTTCACTGTTTTTTTTTTAATTTAAGATGATGTAACTTTATCTATATAAATATAAACCTATATATATATATCTCTTTATAGGGATTTACAGACAGACCCATGAGGTAATAGTGGGCTTCTTTAAAAAAAAAAAAAAAAGGAATACACAATGCTGCAGGAAGATAACTAGAGCAAATATCTGCCTCTGTTATCCGGTCAAAATGCACTTTAGGAAATGGCCAATTGTTCGGGAGTGATCAATCTAGATTCACTCCATTAAAAAAAAAAAAAAAAATCAATGAAAAATCAATGCAGAAGAATTGTTCTTGTGGTAATCATTTCACAAAATATCAGAACATTATGTTGTGTATCTAAAACTAAAAACATTACAAGTCAAATTATATTTCAATAAAACTGGGGTGGGGGGTTGCTCTGATATACTCTATCTTGCTTCTGAAAACTCATACCACATTTGCTTTTAAGATTATTCAACAGCCAGATATCCCAAGATTCACAATTTCAGGATAATGGAAGATCAGATAATTTGTTTGCCTTTTAAATATATCTTCATGTGTTCAGCATACGTAAAAATGGGAGAAAATTCATTTTGACCACTTTTGATCCTGATAATAGGAATTACAGAAACTCCTGACTAGAAATTAAACAAATGGTTAAAAGAAACTATGTATGGTTTTGGCTTAAAAATAAAAACACCCTTACAAAGTATCAAATGATTCTGAACCACATTAAGGTTTTGAAAACTATTCCTTTTTTGAATAAAAATAGAAATGTAGGCACGCCTGGGTGGTTCAGTGGGTTAAAGCCTCTGCCTTCGGCTCAGGTCATGATCCCAGGGTCTTGGGATCGAGCCTCACATCAGGGTCTCTGCTCAGTGGGGAGCCTGCTTCCCTTCCTCTCTCTCTCTGCCTGCCTCTCTGCCTACTTGTGATCTCTGTCAAATAAATAAGTAAAATTAAAAAAAAAAAAAGAAAAAAGAAAAGAAATGTACTTACAACTTGAATTGACTATCCATTATGAAGCAAATTACTTTTTCATAGGCCAGATAAGTTTTCATATGGTATTTACTTACATCCCATAATCAGCCACTTTCATTATAATGGGAATCTAACACCATCTCAAAGCATAAAAATTTTACTGTACATAAGAATTAAATAGTCTAGGCACCTGGGTGGCTCAGTGGGTTAAAGCCTCTGCCTTTAGCTCCAGTCATGATCCCAGAGCCCTGGGAATCTCTGCTCAGCGGGGAGCCTGCTTCCTCCTCTCTCTGCCTGCCTCTCTGCCTACTTGTGATCTCTGTCTGTCAAATAAACAAAATCTTAAAAAAAAAAAATTAAATAGTCTAGTTTAACTGATGTGAACAGACAATGCTCCCATGTTCCAGAGCTTATATAACAAATTCTTTTGTTTAACTGGCCCATCAAAAAATAGATACCAAAAGTTAATTTATGGACTCAAATTCCCTCTTTCCTTCAGAACATAAGGGTTCAAAACAAACAAAAAATCCCTCCAAAAAACCCCCACAACTTACCTGTTCCAAGCTACCCCCCCCTTTTCCACAAAGATTTACCTCCTAGTTTCTTACAGTGATCTATCCCAAATTATGTACTTGTTTAAACCTGAAAAGAAATCTGTTATTTTAAAATAAAAACCAATCTAATGTTGGTTGATCTAACAAAATACTCAAGAGACCTTGAAACAACTTCATTCTAAATACAACTGCAGGAATCTATAAAGTTGATCTAGAATACATCAACATTGATTTGAAAATTACATTTTAATTTTGAAGAATTTAAGAAAATATTTCTTATAGAAGAAACAAGTTTTTAGGCACAGTATTTATAAATCATTAAGCCTTTATATGCTGGCATTATTACTTTACAGTGAAGGTCTAATTTCAGCTTTTCCCTCCCATAGTTTCAGAATCTTATTCTCAAATAATTTCGAAGTACCTTATTTTTCAAGTTATCCATGACCAAGACACCTTTGAAGTAATAACCAGAGATCTAAAATTAGGCCAATTACTTTATGTACTATAAAATCTACTTTAAAGGCAACACTGAAAAAATGACCTAACTTATTTTAAGGATCAAAACAGGTCTTTTAGGGGCACCTGGGTGGCTGAGTGGGTTAAGCCTCTGCTCAGGTCATCTCAGAGTCTTGGGATCAAGCCCTGCATTGCAGAGAGCCCGATTCTCCCTCTCTCTCTCTGCCTGCCTCTCTGCCTACTTGTGATTTCTTTCTCTGTCAAATAAATAAAATCTTAAAAAAAACAAACAGGCCTTTTAAATCATGTACCAGCCCTCATCTCTAAGATAACAAGTAATTCTCATAACATTATTATGCCTATAGCATAAGCAAATGAGATTACAGAGTAGTACCTTAGCAAGGAAAAAATCTGAGAGAAAGCATAGTAACAAGTCATTTTAGACATTCTTCTATATATATATATGTATGAGACATTTTGTCTACTCAATAAGTATCTTACCCCGCTTTCATGAAAATGTTTTTCCCTCCAAACTTGTGATTATAGTGTTCGGTTAATGGTGGCTGACAATCACCTGTTACTCAGACAGGCTAATCACAGAATTTTGTTACTTCGGCCTGTGATAAGCTCAAAGGGTTGCAAAGCAACCCAAGCCAGAACCTGACCTGATCAAGTCCATCCATCTCTGCCTGGTTTTTCAAACTGAAGCTGGGACACTTTTTCCTTCTCTAAATCAGAAGCTGTATGGTTGTGACCTAGAGCTGCTGGCAGCCATGTCCCCTGAAATTACATGGTGAATCCAAAGAAAAAGAGATCACATTGAGCAGTGGCGATAATAAGAGCTGACTTGGCATATACACGTGCAATTTTAGTCCCTGAGGTTGTAGCTTGTTCTGGGTTCCTATAGCTATTTCCTTTGATTGTTAACCACTCCAGTTTTCCTTCTAATAAATCCAAAGGGGAAAAAACCCCAAGAGGGAGGAGACCCATTCTCAGCAGAGAGCTACTGGGACCCACATAGACTTTACCCACTAAAGCACAATGTAATGCTCAAGTCTTGTTTTCTTGAAAAACATGTAAGAAAGAAAACTAAGTGAAGCAGTCTTAAAAAAAGCTAGAGGGAGCAGTCATGTGTCCTGTCTAGCAACTTTTAATCTAATCACAGAACCCAGAGGTTAATTTAAATCTATTTCTAAAAATGAAAAGTGCAATATCTGCTATTAAAATTTCACTATCAAAACATTTATTCGCTTATAGGAAGACTGCATTTTTGGTATCCAGCAGGTTAGGTCTGAATAATACCAAGATAAAACATGAATAACTTTCCCAACAGACTGAGGTAATATAAAATAGGCAAAATGCAAAAACAAAAAACTACATTTCAACAACTCAAGTGCTTAAAATAAAGGCTTTCAAATACCTCGTGAATCTTAAAAAGGTAACCACTAACCTTTCGAGGGTTTACAAACAGTGACAACTGAGCTGGGTCTTGATGGAGAGGGATAAGCATTCCAAACAGAGAAACTCATTCAAAGTTGAGGGTGTGAAAGAACACAAGGCTGTAAAAATTTGCTTATAGTCTTACATACCAGAAACACAACAGGGTATAGATAAGAAAGTAACCCATGTGGCCAGAAAGGTTAACCATGGCTAGGATCTTCTGTGAGTTTGAATATGTCAGACTACCCCAAACGCAATGGGAAATGGATAGTTTTATTTTTGTTTTAAAGATTTACTTGTTTGAGAGAGCAAGCACAGTGGGGGGCCACGCAGAGGGCACCCTACATGGGGCTCAATCTCACCAACTCATGAGATCATGACCCAAGCTGAAACCAAGAGTCAGATACTCAACTGAGCCACCCAGGTGCCCTGAACCATTGATAGTTTTTAAGCAAGAATAAGACAAATCAAATTTGGTTTTTACTATTTTTTTATATGTATGGACAAATACTACATTAGGAGGGATTCTTTGAATTTTTTAACTTACTAGGTCATATCCTGAAAGTACCCATAATCTGTGTACCCAACCTGTTAGTTAAGCCAAGCTTAACAAAGATTTTTACTACTTCTTCCATATTTAAAAAAAGAAAATGTTGCAGATATAATTGACGATCCCTCACATACTCCTCAAATTCCATTTCCTTTCTCCCACAGTAGGTAACAGATTATCCCAAATTTGGCTTCCACTATTTCTCCACATTTTTACACTCTACTAGGTATGTATCTTTTCACACATAGCATTGTTTTGCAGGTTTTCAAATTTTAAGAGATAAAAAACTATAAATACATATAGTTATACAAAGACCTATATCTACATATTTCTATATATGTATACTATTCAGAACATTGGCTCTTAACACTTTATAATAAGGACTTCT